GGCCGCTTGCGGGAGCTGGGCCCTGGCCGTGGGTGGAGGTGGTGCCCGGGGGTGCTGTCGCTGGAAGGAAGGGGCCACCCCGAATACCTGTTTCTGGGGTCTTAATTGGTGCACGAAGAGGTGGGAGGTGGCGGGTCTCGCGGCTTTTGCGTTGTTTTAAGATACTTTTTCTGTCTTAAGAATCCACCTGAAGCTCAAGACTGTACTCTTCCCCGGCAGCACCCTGGCATGGAAGGTGATCCCGGTGCGCAGGATGGCTGGTGGCGGCCACGGCTCGGCGGCGTTGGGCGGGTGAGATGGGCGATCTGGGCTCCGGAGTCTCCCCTTAGGCTGGGAATTCGGTTGCCTTCACAGCCTCCCTTGGCCGGAGCAGCGAGCAGCAGTATTTCCTGGCCCCCTGCTAGCAGGTACTGCCAGCGTGGTCCTTGTTCCCGACGCTGTGGATCCTCTGCAGGGCTCGTGCTTGGGGTTGGGCCCTGCAGACAAGGATTTCCCGCTGGCAGGGCCCCTTGCGAGTCTCTCTCCGCTCATTAAGAACTGCAGAATCCCCTTATTCCTGGCTCTGTCGAGGTCATGTATGGGTGGGGTAAGGAGATTTTCTTTCTCCAGCATCACTGGGCCTGGCTAGTGGCAGAACTGGGAATCGGATCTGATCCAAAGCCGGTAGATCACTCTGCTTTCGCTCCGCCTGCCGCTCTGAAGCTGTAACAGGCTTTGCCAGGCGAGCTCGGTGGTGACTCTGCATGTTTATCCAAGAGCTGTGGCTCCGTGAAATAGCTACAGGTCTCCAACAACATGCGAGAGCAACGGGAAGGTCTTTGACTGCTGGGCCCCTCTTGCCTGTTGCTGTCACTCGCCCCTCCTATATATTTTCAGGAATTGGGGTGTTTTCTTCTTGCACGGCGCTGGTGGTTCCGGGGTGGGGTGTGTCAGTGACACGTACTCGTGAGCCCGCAGCCCGCTGCTGACGTTGGGGGTGTTGCGATCTGTTCCAGGGTTGCTTGACGTTTCGGAGCGCTCTCGGCCGATGGCCTGCCTGCCGGATAGACCTGAGGTGAGAACGCACGGCCTCGTCGGAGCTCTGTGACCTGTCCCTCCAGATCCCTTTCCCATCGGATCTGAATACCGATCTTGTGGTCGAAAAAGGAGGAAAAATAAAATTCAAACTGGTCTCGGCCTCTTTGCCGGTGCAGTTCTGCTCTGAGAGGGGCCAGTTTGAAGACAGTCTGTGTTGACCTTGCTCCTTCGGGAAGGCTGGGGTGGGAATGAAACCCCCTGGCCAAGAGAAGGGATAAATGTTGGGCGTGGAGGGCAGAGGTGCCGTGGAGATTTACGGGCTGGTGTTCGCTTGGGCTGGATCTGATGCATTGGTTCCTGGTGTACAGTGGCCCAATGACTTCAAATACTTACCTGTGGCGCTGGGTTTTACTTTTTTTCAGGAATTAACTCGCTTAGTGGGAAAAGCCGAGAGCTTGTGGAGCCCCTGTCCCCGGTGAAGGGATTTGGTTTGCTTTCCGTAGGGCCCGAATCGTGGGGAAGCTGTGACGTGGAGCACGTGGGTGTCCTGTTGGTTCCTGGTGTACAGTGGCCCAACGACTTCAAATACTTACCTGTGGCGCTGGGTTTTACTTTTTTTCAGGAATTAACTCGCTTAGTGGGAAAAGCCGAGAGCTTGTGGAGCCCCTGTCCCCGGTGAAGGGATTTGGTTTGCTTTCCGTAGGGCCCGAATCGTGGGGAAGCTGTGACGTGGAGCACGTGGGTGTCCTTTGGGGGTGATTGCCAGATGTTTGGTGTTTCGCGAGTGGGACCTTGGCAGTCCTAGAGGACGAGGGACAGTTCAAGCTGACGGTGCCCGTGCTGGAAGCGGCCAGTCCTTAATCTGGGCTTCGCAGGTGGGAACGGTCGACTTCACTGGTGAGGTTTTTTTAGTTGGGCAGCCCGTTATCTGTAGGGGCAGAGCGTCGGTGGGATCGGTCGCACCGCGCCAGCCCTCTGAGCGCAGCCTGGTCCGTGATGACTCCTGTCTTTGGAGACTGTTGGATGAATCCTGCGGATATGGGGCTGAGGCCAGGTGTGAACTAGCCAAAATGGCCGCACGGCGCGGGGAGAGGGGACGCCAGGGGGATTCCTTAACGCGGGTGAAATCCGAAGCGATGCCGAGTCACACTGCTCTTCATTCAGGCTGGATTTTTACCCCCTCTTCAGGTCTAAGTAGAGCTTGGAGCTGAGATGAGCCAGTCCCTGAGGGTTTCGGTGCTGCAGAGCAAGACTTCGCTCTTTTCCAGCCCTCTCCTCCAGAAGCGGGAGCTCTGCGTGACCAGATCCTGGCTCCTTCCGGAGCCGTGAGCTCCCCCAGGTGGGAACAGCCGCTCCTGTGCTCCGCTCACCACAGGGAGAGGGAACTCGTTTGGCTCCGGGTGCCGCTCAAGCTCCCGTTTAAACGCTCGGCATGGAAGAACGGTCCCTTCCGTGGAGTTTTCTCGGGAGAAGAGCTTGTGGGAGGGTCTGGGTAGAAAATATTTCGAGGGTGAATAAACGCAATCACTTGAAATTCTTGCTGTGTCTCCTGTGCTCGTGTTGGGGGTGCGTTGGTCTGGGGTGATGCCTGACTGCCCTTCCCCGGGGCTGGGGAGCACCGCGGCCTGCCGGGTGCTGGGGGCGAGACCGAACTCGTGAAATCTGAGCAACTTCTTCCACTTGAGGATACCAAGCCTTCGAGGCGAGCGTCTGTCGGTTCTGCCATGGCCGTACCGGTGGGCTGGATCTCCGGGCAGCTGCTGCGTGACTGGGATGTCCTCTTGGATGTACTTTTTTTTCCTGGAAATCGGTGTGTCTGGCTATTTTTTTTCTGTGCGAGTTAGTGCTCCTCGTAACACTGAGTTGCCGCCCGAGGGAGCTCATGTGGAAGCCCTTTGCGCGCCAGAGCTGCGTTGGTCGGAGCCGGTCTTTCGCTTTCCCTTCCTCCAGATGCCGGAGCTGGTGCAGCCCTTACTGCTGGAGTTTCCCCTCGGCAGCCCCCGGGCGGGGGGTCCCTGGGAGCGCAGGGAAAGCTGCGTGGGAGGTCGCGGAGGTGCACGGAACGGCTCCTGCCCGGGGAAAGGCAGCGTCTGACCTAGCCGGCATCGTCTGCTGGAGCCCTGGTGACTCCAGTCGCCCATTTTTCTCACGATGGAGAACAAATTGGGGGTGGAAACAGCCCCAGAGCTGTTGGGGCGAGTCTGTTATTCCCCGTCTCTGCACAGCCGTTGGGAGGGGGGGGGGCTGGGCCCCCATGGCGAAGTCCCCGGGGCCGCGGCGGGTGACCCGGGCTGTTTGCAGAAAGCACCTTTGTCCGGGGGGACGGGGAATCGGTGCCTCTGACCCCTCCTCCCTTCTCCCCGTGGCGACTCGAGAGCCCCTTTCTCATGGAGCTCGTCCCTCCCAGCTCTCCCAGGATTTTGGCTTCCTCGGGGGCCACCGGCCCCTCCGCGGCAGCGTGTTCGTGCACCCGGAGCCTGGCTGTCCCCGCCTTTGTCACCAAAACCAGGCAGTGGGACAGAGCTGGCACGTGACAATGCTGAACAGCGTCCCGGGGACGAGAGGACGGGGACGGAGCCGGTGGCTTCTCCCTCCTCCCCGGGACGGTTTGTTGGTCTGCCTGGGTGACTGCGAGGCCAGAGCCGTCCCCAGGGAAGGCGCTGCGGGGTGGGGACAAGGGTGGAGACCTGGCCCCACCAGCACAGCAAAGCCCGGCCGGGTCAGGATCTGGCCAGCCTGGGGCCGGTGAATCTGGCCTCGCCCGGCACACCCGCC